TTTGGTGAACGGCTCCAAATTTTCTTAAACGGAGAGTCTCCAGACTGATTAGCGAGTGAAATCTTGAAAGCTCGCGAGATCAGGATGGTCTCATGAGGCTATCATGCTAGTGCCTTGGTGCCAATTTTCTCCTGCCGAACATATGTAGGCCTCCACCACAGTAGGGTCCCTGGATGTGAGATGGCAGTAGGAGAATAGCTGGTAGTGACCAACACACAACTTTGATAGTAACAAGACTAACAATTAGGTCATTGAAGAACACCTACCTTTCTTCTCCTCAGATGTGACAAGTAAAAACAAGGATGTGCCATTCAAGAGAACATTTACAAAACATTTCCAGATATGAATATAAATATGTAAATCAAATAACAGAATTAACAAAATGAAGGGAAAAAAAGGAAGAATAATAAAACCAGGACTTAAAGTTACAGTAAAGTTTAAAGTTTATTTTTTTATAGATGTGAGCTATCCATTAATAGTCCATTAGACTGTTTTCACTGTTATGTGAGCTTATAGTTAAATAAATAAAGATTGAAAAAGGTTCGTCTTAATTGTTTTGGATCAGTAATGAAGACAATCAGGCATTTGAAGAAGACATGTTTCCGTTTAAGCAATTTATATCATATATTGCAAAAAACTAAAACAGAAAAAAGTTCTAACCCACGAAATCATAGCTTCAAATTGGCCATACTTCAGAATTAAACTGTTTAGACAGCCCTCATCAAAAATGACTTATTCAGATAGCAAAACCTTTAGTCTCATTATAGCACAACTGAACATCCAGTGGTACGAAACCTCCCAAACAGAACATTTTACCATATCTGTTAACTACCCCCCAGCCCATCTGCTCAGTTGGAGACCGTACCTTTATTCTATGGGTTGAGGGATGGGGGAATCAAAGGTTATAAGGCACTAAAGGGAGGCGGGGTTTAACACTCACGTCTCAGTTGAGTAGGAAGCTGCTTTGAACAAGAAGGCAGATGTTGGCTTTCAATTAATCAGTTCTGATCTTTTTGGGCAAAATTTTAGTGAGGCCAACAAAACCCAACCTCTGATCCTATGGATCAGAAATTGGAATTAGATAATAAAATACACATACAAGTATCATCTGATGGGATAAGATGAATATAAAACCAATGCTGCAGAAAGTCATGATTCATCGTTTGCGAAAACCTCCATGTCTTTGAGGCTGAAAAGCCACCTTTAACTCTGTCCTTTTACATCAGAGGTGTCAAAATTCAGTGCTAGACGGTTGCTGCAACTTTTAGATGCGTGTGTCCTTGAACCCACCTGGGTCAAATAATCCAGTCATTAATAGGAGTCTGGAGAACTAAACTGCATCTGAGGAGGTAATTCAGCCATTTTATTCAGGAGTGTTAAACAAGGGACATCTCTTAAAGTTGCAAGATACGGCCCTTAGTGAATTGAGTTTGATACCCTTGGTTTGCATTGTGTAAAACTTGTAGAATCAGTTTTATCTGGTGTTACTGATTAAGTTTAGACTTGATCAGAAATCATTCTCAGAAACGAGAATAGCTGTCTGAAAAAAAAAAAATAGTGAGGTGGTCCTCTGGGCAGATTGTAGAGATCAATCAAGTTTGATTGTACTTCAGGACAGAACAGAAGATATCAGGATGTAATTTAGAAATGTGGTTCATGCTGTGTACAGCCAGGTCGGGCC